GTAAACCCCGTTTTCCCCTTAAATAAACTTTCTTTCCCCCCCCCTTTTAAGGAGGGTTTTTTTTTTTTTCCCCCCTTTATAAAATTAAGAGGTTTTTCAAAAAAAAAAAAAAAATTTTGTGTTGGTTCTGGGAGGGGCCCGTGGCTTAAACCCCCTTTTCCCCCCCCCCCCCTGGGGGGGGGGGGGGGGGGGGGGGGGGGGTCCGCGTTCCACCAGGCATCAACACTGACTCATAAAGGAAAGCACACCACCGCCTGTGAACCTGAGGTCGCCTGTATCACACAGCCTGCCAAGGATGACCTCGATACTCTTAATTCTCACTCCAACGGACACACAACTAAAATAGCAAAATAAGAGTAGCATGCAAGGAGTGCCTGTGTATAATTCATGTGCCCGATTCCGAGGAGGAAGTACATCTGATTCTTTCCATTATGGAGTCGCCCAGGCATATCAGACCTTAGAAAGGTTGGTCTACTTCCTTAAAACTTAGCAATTCAAATAAATGCCCCCCTGTTCCAGTCGGGAGCATCTAGTAGGTCTCTGAGAGGCGACGGAACCTGCATTTAGTTGGGCCAGGAGGACTGGGAATTCTGTAATTCCTTATTATTAATCACTAGTGATTTATAGGAATCCACAACCATGTATTTTATTTCTGATCCTATTAAGACATTTTTAAGTGTGTACCAAAAAGCCGAAATAGAGAGACCAAGAAGCAGCAGAGGCTGTCCCATAAACAGAAAGGAGCCAATGAGGGAGTGTTTAATATTCAAAAGAAGAAAAATAGAGTTAACTCTCTTGTTAATATGGGGGGAGGGGGGGTGTTTTTTAGTTTCACGTCAATACACCTGGAATAAACAGCCCCAGATCGCGCTAAAACCCAACAAGAGCAGCACTAAGAATGGTTCCTGCACTTTGAACTAGGCCAGACTCTCGTTCAAAACTAAGAAGATGGGGGTGCGGCCCTGGCCACTCTCCGGAGATGCAGGGAAGCCGGGGAGAGAGCTGGGCCCAGGCCAAGGCCCTGGAAAGACATGTACAGGAATAGGAACGTGAGTGGCCAACCTTTGTCGCAATGAATTAACATTTAAATCAAATTTCAAGTTCTCAGACTCTAGCTGCGATTCATTACATATACGTTGGCGGATGGGAGAAGAAGGCTTAGGACTAAGGGGGGTGTCAACCTGAGATGGGTTTCAAAAAGAAGCACCTCAAACCAGCAATTTAAACGAAGCACAGGCCGCACGGGAGCCCGCTGCCCCGCGGACTCTGTACACACAGTCTGTTCCCGGGAACAGCTGCCGAAAGACAAGTTCCCCGCAGGTGACCAGAGTCACGCGGCCAACCTTCCTCTGTCCTTAACCCGCTTCCCCATCTTTTGAAAGGCCTCATGCAAGTCTGAATGGTTCTAATGGCTACACTTCTCTCCCAACTTTGAAATCCCAAAGTGGGAAGAGGGCAAAACCCGAGGCTGAGGCCCAGGCAATGGGTAAAAGGCGGAAACTCCGGAAACACGACGGTCGCAAACCCAAATACAAAACAGTAAACCAACTGAAAGGCGGCACCAACGTCCACTGAGTCATTCAAGCACCGTGCTGTGTGCTGTGTTCGCCTTTTCAGCATCTGGGCGGAGGGAACAGTGACCCGCCCTCATCCTCCCTGACATGGGTGCTGAGAAACCATGCACAGGTCCCACCCAGCTTCCTACAAAGGGACTGACCACTAGCTCCAGCCTTGGTCTGCTCCCAATGGTGTAAAGACACCATTTAAAAAACTGAAAGCATCATTTCCAGAATTCCTCAAAGTCCAAAAGAATGCAGCATAAACATCATGGACCGCCTTAAAACGGCCATCTGTGAGCTAACATTTAAATATAAGTGGTCCGCCCCAGTCACCAACCTGAAACCACAAGTCACCTACCACGCTAAAGTCCTCCGTGCTCGGGAATGGCAAGACCAGCATGTGCCGACCCAACAGTCCCACACAAGAGCTGCCAAACGCGACGCACATCCATGTGAAGTGCAAGGTCATTCTACTATTTGATATCAAAACTCAAGGCCGCAGTGACTCAGTGGTTGAGCACTGACCTATGAACCAGGAGGTCATGGTTTAATTTCCGGTCAGGGCACATGCCTGGGTTTCGGGCTAGATCCCTAGTAGGGGGTGTGCAGGAGGCAGCCAATCAATGTTTCTCTCTCATTGATGTTTCTCTTTCTCCCTCTCCCTTCCTCTCTGAAATCAATAAAAATATATTTTTTTAAAAAACAACAGCAACGCTGAAAAAGCGATTCCAAAGTAATCATTCAGGCTAAGCTGAAATAGAGCATCTGCTGGTCTCCCACGTCATTCAAAGCTCTCGGGGTACCACATATGCAAACAAATGTGTATTTTTTTAAGTTGAAACAGTTTTACTGTAGAATCTGAAAGAACATTCACACATCAGACCTGGGGCTGCAATGATGAGCAGGGTCAATATGAAGTCACGAACATGATTTTAAACTCGAAGGAACTTTGCAAGCAAAGCCCTCGGAGCCACGACTTACTGAACGCAGTGCCTGCCGCTTTGGGAACTGTGACTGAGGCCGTTTACACGGCTCGGCGAGGCCATCAGCTCTAGACGTCAGAGACAGGCTCTCAGGGAGACCTCTCCGCACACCAACCGTTGTCCCCCCGACTCCATCTCCACCCCTTCACCTCCTGGTGCGTGGCCACGTGTGCAGGGCGGCCCCTTCTCTCCAGAGCCAGCCCCTTGGTGTCAAGGGTCGCACCTTATTCATCTTTATTTCCCCAAAGCTGAGGTGCACACCTCTCGCACAGGGTAGGCGTTCAGAGAAGCACCAAGGGGAATAAGCACGCAGATTTCGGACGGACAGGTGAGCCCTTCAACAACGCACGTCCTCACAGCCGCCCTGGGCGGCCGGGCCTGTCACAGCCGACAATGACCCCGCACCTTCCAGCCACTTGGATCCATTCCTCTGAACACATAACATTATCAACAAAGGGCAGGAAACGGAACTGAGCTATTTGGCTCCCAAAGATGAGATCACCGAGGCTTTTAAGAATAACATGAGAAACGCATTTGAGTAAGAAAACGGGGCCAATGTGGCAAGATTTCATGAACAAAAACAATAAACCTGAGCAAATCCTGATGGCAAAACACAAGGCGGACAGCGGCCAAGGCTATAGGATGCGGGTCGGTACCTAATGTAATGAGCTCAGTGCCCGAGGAAAGCTGGGATTTCCTTCCTCGCTCGGTGACAATAGCACACATCTCACCTTGGGGAGCAGTTAGATTAAATTTCCGTTCAGTTCGGCTCACCCTCCGTGGACAGCGAGTCCGGCTGCTCTCCGCGACGGCGTTAAGTGCTGGGCACAGGACAGGAACCATCGTGGTACTTCCCCAGCCCGTGCCAACCCCCAGCAGCTCCCAGTCCAGTGAGACGGCCAAGAAAAGAAGCAACTTTTGAAATTTCAAGTGACTTTTCTAGTGATGAAAAAAAAAAAATCCATGTTGAGCAAAAAAAGAACATAAGCCAAACTCAATACACTCATGCTTTAGTCTAAAACATCCTTTGAGTTCATTAGAATCCTTATGGAACCTGATTTTGATTAACCAATGAATTGGCCATCGTTTCTGGTGTTATGATTTTGACGTATCTATTTCTGCCTCGAGGTAGGAATGGACAATAGATCCACTGAAGCTGTGAAACGGTGGCGCTACACCAACAATAAACATCCCACACTTTCAATCAGCCAAACTGCACGGCCACCTGCCCCTTTATTCTTCACTCCGCCCCCAAATTAGCAACCATTTTATCAACAGCCTGCCCGCAAGGCTGTCTACCATCTGAACACACCCTCTACCATCCACACCCAAATACAAAACAAACAAAAATAACCCTCCCGCTCCCCCTAAATTCCACACGTCACAACTAACCCAGGTCCTCATCCTTGGCCTTGCCCTGTCTCCTCCTTCCTTCCCCCACAGCCAACCTTTTTCATTGACTCTGCCACCTTCATCACTCCGGCTCCACCCCCCAGTGTGACTGCCCTACCCAGCCTTCCCCTCTCAGCGGGAAGCCAGAGCCTGGGGAGTGGCTCTCTGCCCTCTGGCCACCCCAGCCCCCACAGCCAGCCCACTCCTTCCCCATCCATGAACCGATCGGCCCTTTCTAAACCACGGTGCCTTTCTGAATCACAGTCAGGCTGGGTGCGCCCTGCTCTGAGTCCTTCCATACCTCTCCAGGGTCCTTAGGACAACGGTCACACGCCTTAGCAGACCCTTGAGGGGAAAACAGAGAAATAAAGAATTGCCTATGACGCAGCAGTTCACTTCAGGGTATGAAAGCAGAGACTCAAACAGACCCCTGTACACCTTATTCAAAGCAGCGGTAACTAGAGTCAAAAGGTGGAAGCCGCCCTGATCGGTTTGGCTCAGTGGATAGA